TATTCATTGTAATCATTTTTTTCTCTTCCATGATTATATTTTGTAATTAGGTTTGACAGCTCTCATAGATCTTGGTTCACGTTGTTCTTTGATTTCCACCTGTCCACCTACTGCGCCTTCTTCTTTTTCAGTCCCCATTTGGTCCTCTTGGAATTCAATTAGTGAGACCTCTTTTTCTGTCTCTTCCTCTCTCCTTCCAAAAAATTCTGCGTAAAAAAGTTCTGCTTTCTCAATTGAATCAATTCTGTGTCTCTGTTCTTGCCATGTAAACATTAGTCCTTCTGGAATCAGCCATCTATAATTCACCTCCTTTTCCAGTAGCATTTTAGTCAAAAATCGATATTCTCTTCTCATCTCTCTCACTCTTCTAGGTATTTGTTTTAAAACCACAATCTCCTTGTCTTTGTATTTCAACGTCTTCTCTCTTGCCACTTGTAATATTTGTGTTTTAATGGATTTTTGGGTAAATCTGATGTGTACTTCTCTTGGTAAATTATTTCTCATCGCATATCTTGTAAAGACTCGATATACCTCATCTACTCCATCCATCATCTTTTCCTCTGTTATTTCCAAAGCATCAGCCAGAATTTCTATCATTATCGTAGCTAAATTTTGTCCTTTTTCTTCCTCTATGTTTTGAAATCTGAGATAGAATTCTGACCTATCCATCTCCCACTTCAGCATCCCACTTTTATCTTGTTCAACTACTGTTAATCTGCTGTCAATATTTCCAATCTTCTCCTCTCTTTGTTTATCTTCTTCGATTTTTTGGAATCTCTCATCATACTTCACCATCATTTGTTTAATATTTTCAATTTTTTCATCAGTCTTCCCTGTTCTTTGTTCAATGTTCTCTATTCTTTGTTCAGTAGTGTCTGATTTTGTCTTGAGATCTTGGATTCCTTACATAATCATCTGTAAAGTCACTTTTTCTTGTTCTTTATCTTGCTTTAACATTGTCTGGATTAAACGTTGTCCTCCAGATGGTGGGGAGGCAGAAGTAGAGGTAGAGACACCAGACGGTATGAGTTTCCTACTCATTTTGAACGATTCAAGACCTTCAAGTTCTTTTAGACTTTAATCCAATTGGTAAGGTAGCCAGTTATAATCCAAAATGAAAAATAAAAATAGTAGAGAGTAAAAAGTCCAATGGTAAAGAAAAAAGGAAAAGAAAGAAAATTCTTCAGGTTCTTCTGGACCCTAATCCAATTATGAAATAGTCAATTATAATCCACAATAAAGGATAAAAATAAGAAGAAGGAAAAAGCCCAATAATAATAAGAAAAAAAACAAAACAAAAGAAAAGTTTCTTCAGGTTCTTCATACCTTAATCCAATTAAAAAATCTCAATAATAAAAAGAAACCAAAATAGACCAAGAACATGGATGGAAGAAGCAAAAATCTCAGTGGAAAAAAGGAAAAAAAAGGGAAAAGGAGAAATTCTGAGGCTTTCCCTTTAAAATAAAAAGCAAAAATAAAAATATTGCAAAAATAAAAGTTTACAGTAAAGCTGGTAAGGAGGGGTAACACAACTAAAAGAAAATAAGAAAACACGCTGCACTTTGTTTAATTATCCAAGGCTCTTATTATGACTCTCTTCTCCATAAACTTCAAAACCAAGCTTCAAGTGTTTCTGGGAGGAGGGGGAAAGTGAGAACAAAGAAACTTCCTAACACTGCCAGCTAGAGGCTTGAAAATATTTTACTTGAAGTGGAGAGAACATTTCAAGGACATTTCAACTTGATAAGATAGAGGGAAGAGTGTGGCAGAATATTATTACAGGTGTTCTTCTGGACTTCTATCAACAGCACTGGGATCTTGAACCGGGCTTGGACAGCTGAGACACTGCACCCTTAGGAACTCAGTATATAAGACTAATCAAGCTTCCTTGAAAATAGTTTTAAAATTTACATTATGCAGATATAGTTACAGAAAATACTCAGGATTATTTCCTAGATAGAGCACAGGAATACTATCTATTTTTCATTCATTTCATATTCAATATGTGTTTTTTCTTTTCCAAAGCACAGTGCCTCTAAGGTGGCTTGTAATATACATTAATCAATTCATGTTAATGTATAGTAGTTGCTTTACACAACTTTTGACAATAGATTATAGCTTCAAAATGCTGATCACCAAATACCTTAAATTTTAATTTGAATCAAGGAGAACTAAAGAATTTTCACACCTTGTAGAAAGTAGCAGCTGTAGATTGTGTCCCATCCTTTGATAGGGAATTTCTCATACTATCTAGCAACTTCATTAATCCTGGTGCTGGTCCAGTAAATATTGCTTTGTCTACTCTAAAATGAAAATGTTCACTACAATAGTGTGAATCATAAATATTAAAATTTATGTATTGAGAAATTAGTGCATAATTATTGCAGATGAAATAATGCATTTGTTTCCTTTGTTTGAGGGAAAGAGAGAGATAATCAAGTGCCAAGTTTGCCTAATTCTGTATTTATAGATGTCATCTATCTATTGTAAAGTAATTATGAAATACATGTATTTTCTGCATAAAAATGAGGCAGTAAGTAATTTTTGGGGGGTGGGAGAGAGAAACAGAAATTATATTCCCTCTTAAGACTCCATTGAAACTAGAAGGGTATTTAGGAAATATGTCCTCAAAGAAGAAAATGCTTTTGCATAATGCACTTTTAACCGCTGCTACCAGCAGATGCAATGACATATTTTTTATATTGTTTTATTATGTATAAATATTTTGAAAACAGTATATTTTCCAGGCACTTAATTTTACTGAAAATACGATATACTAATAGTAATAATAATATACATAGTAATTATAGCAATAATTATGGTTATATTAGCTTATTTGTAATATTAATTAGACTAGCATGCTTATAGTCATAAATCACGTTCATTTTTTACATACACACAACAATAATCTTTCTTCTTCTAACTTCTACCGCTTATATCTAACCACTGATAAAACTTATCCCATGTTGAATAATACTCTGTATCTCCTTTATCTTTTATTTTTAATGTCAATCTATCCATCTCTGCACATTCCAATATTTTCCAAATTATGTTTTTGGGATGTTCTCATTTTTCCAATATTGTGCGAGTAGAATTCTCAATCCTATCAATACTTGAAGCATTAAACATATTCTCCCTTTATCATAGCTTTCTATTACTATACCTAACAAAAATATTTCTGGCTTTAAATCTATATGCTGCTTAATCATCTTTTTCAGCCATGTGTGTATTTTTGTCCAGTGTTTTCTTGCCTTCATACATGTCCACCACATACGATTATAGGTACCTGGCGTCTGGTTACATTTCCAACATTTGGCAGACATATTTTTAAACATATTTGCTAGTGTTGCCAGTGGCAGATACCACCTATAAAACATGTTATATAGGTTTTCCTTATATGCGGTAGCCATTGCCAGTTTGTAATTTCTATCCCAAAGTTTTTGCCATTTATCTAATTCTACAGCATAGCTGAATTTTTTTGCCCATACTATCATTTTTCTTTTACTTGTTCATCTTCCATTTTAAAGTTTAATAGGTAACTATATAGTTTCCTTATCAATTTTTCACCTGTCCCTAATAGTATCTGATGAAGTATTAGAAAACCCATATTTTTGAATCTTTCATACATCTCAATTGTATTTGCAGTTGTGGCCGCCATGCTAAGTCCACCCCTTGGTTTTGTAATTCCTGTCTGGTTTTAAGTTCCCCTTCATCGTTTAAGATGTCTTTGTAGGATACAATTTTTTCCAAATTGACAATATTTGGATGTATCAATGCTTCCATTGTAGAACGCCAAACTGGTATTTTCCTATAGTTTTTTTATTTAACTTTTTCCCATACTAAAATAAAGATTTCTCACATAGTGCCTTTGAACGTATCAATGTACTGTATTCCTTCCATACCATAGAAAGGCATGCCACCTTAATTGAAGATCGTGGCCCTCCAGTAATCTTCTATGCCTCAAATTTATCCATTCTTTTACCCATGTAAGTACAGATGCTTGGTAATACAACTCGCAATCTGGTAACCCAAACCTCCCATTACCTTTAGAGTCCAGTAACATTTTCAGTTTTATTCTTGCTTTTTTCCCTTGCCAAATATATTTAAATTTTATTTTTTCCAATTCTTCAAAATATTTTTTCTCTAGTTTTATTGGTATTGTTTGGTATAAGAAAAGTAGTTTTGGCAATATATTCATTTTTATAGTAGCTATTCTCCCTAACATTGAGAGTTGTAGATTCTTCCATTTCTCCAAACCCAGTTTAATTTGTTGCATTAACTTTATATAGTCATCATCTTTAATTATTGCACATCTTGCTGTTGAGTAAATTCCTAAATATTTCACTTTCTTTACTATCTGAAGATCTATGTTCTTTGTCAATTTGTTTTTCTGCTTGTCTGTAAGGGTTTTAACTAATATTTTAGTTTAAAAAAAATTATTTTCAGTCCTGCAATTTCTCCATATTCCTCTATTTTTCCTGTTAGTCTGGGGCTGGTTTCTAATGGTTCTTCTAAAACAAAAACAAGGTCATCTGCAAATGCTTGTAATTTATACTTTTCTTTTTTTATTTCCATTCCTTTTATTTCTGGATCCTGGCTAATATTTCTAATCAACACTTCCAGTGTCATTATAAACAACAATGGGGACAATGGACATCCTTCTAATGACAGATGTTTTGAAAGGGTGCTGGCAGATTCATATAGGATCAGGGTTGTAATTAAGGTTACAAATAATTTTTGGCTTTTTGCTATCTACAGGATGCTTTAAATACAGTGGCTGGGAAACCAGTCAGTTTTCTTAACAAGGTTTCTTGGAAGTGGTTTGCTATTGCTTCCTTCCTAGGGTTAAGGAAAACTTCCTAGAAGTTACAGTTTCTAGCTTGGTCACATACTGAATCACAATAATATTATGAACTCCAATGTAAATCCTCTGGTTATATTTTGATTGTTTTTTAATAGCATAGCCCATGTGATAGAATCATACTTTTTTCCAATTACAGAGACATTCCCCAGGTCAACGCTCACATTCCCCAGGTCGGCACCCACGTTCCCCAGGTCGGCGTTCACGTTCTCCAGGTCGGCGTTCTAGAAGTCAACATTCTGAATCTTCGGTGGAACAGAATTTGCGGATCACTGTTGGCAATGATCGTTATGGTATTGATACACCTGAGAGAAAGAGGTTGTGTGACAGACTGGGCTCACCAGTTGATAGCCTGAGTGATGTGGATAGGTAGGTTTTTTCAAGACTTGTTTCCCAGTTATGTTTTGTCATGCTTTTCCATGCTTCCAAATACCACAATCTTACAAGATGTAATGAAAAATAACATTGGCCAAGCAACATTGAGAATTCCAGATCTAGGAGAGAGTATTTAGTGTACTTTCTCAGACTGATATGTCATAATTCCAAAATGAATATCACAACTCATTCATATACTGTAACAAAAATGGTATAAGTAGGAGTACTGTTAATAATACAGTAATGCAGTATTTCAATAAACTTCAATAAAAATAATTTAATCACAGAATACATGTGTAGTATTATAATCCGTTGTTTGACAAAGTCCAAAAGAAAATAACATTTTCGGTATAATATAATATTTGGATTTTCATTAAAGATAGATTTGTCCGTTTTCTGTATATTGATCAAATGATGAAAGCAAATGTTCTGTGGTATGAGAATAATAGTATATATTAATGTTCTTTGTATGTGTAATACTTCAGTCATATTAAATATGTGGAATGGATTATCAGTCCTATGCAGTGTACATTTTTGGGTTGATGGATATATTTGGAAGTTTAGTAGTATATTAAGAATGCTCAAACAAAATAGCTATCGTGAAAGATGGGGCTTGACTTCACAATACAATGGCTTAAATCTTTCCTGGATGATTGTGTTTTCATTTGCATATTGCTTTTCATTTTGGGGAAAAACACCATGCAGTCTCTAGGGCAAGTGTTGGTTTATTCCAACAACTCTCTGCCTACCCAAATTTTCATTTTGTCTGGAGAAGTTATTTGAATGAGTAGCGAAATGCCTCAGTTTTAATAAGATTTGGTTCGGTTGCCATGATTTCACCTTTTGGGATAACGGTTTAAAATATCAATTTACTCAAAAGCGAAATGGTGAAGATGCTTTATATTTCCTCCTCCAGGATGCTCCCTACCCAGCTTATTGTTGTCTTTTCTGTGGGCAGATGTACAAATAAAGCACTGGGCTGCTATTAGGTTCTATTGTTATTTTCCAAAAATGAAAATATTTTTATTTAATCAATAAATAAATATTCATTTATTTTATTTTTTATTTCATTTCCAAGTACAAAGCAATAGATTGTAAATAGCATTCATTCTAATAGCATCTTTGCAAGTAGTTTAAATGCACTGAAAATATGTCTGTATTTTGACAAATGAGCAAAATTATTTATTGGTGGAACTCGTTCTTCGTCTTTAATCAACAGCATTATTTGAAATTTCTTGTTTTTATCAAGTGGATCCTTCTCTAAGAAGTAAGTAGTAAGAGCAGATGTGGAACTGAAACCATTTATTTATTTTTAACATGAAAAGATGGGGAGAAAAATGAAGAAGTACTTTTTAAAATGAATTTCCTGTCTCCTGGTGAAAGTTTAGTAACTAAAGTTTACTAAACTTATAGATGCAAATTCTTATGTAGAAAATAGATTACAGTTTAACAGAATTCTAACATCCTGTTTTTTTCAACTAATATATGGGCTGTGTTTCATCTGCAGATGATTTTTACTATTAGCAATAAGATTATAGATAAAGGCAAAAGCAAATTATATTTTTAAAAAAGAATCTTTGGAATAGCATTAATCTGTGATATAATGGTAAAATATTTCGTTTTGAACACTGAATAACATGCATTTGCAATGAAAGTTGTTTGGTGATCTCTAATCAGATGTGCACTCAAATATAAGTCATTTAACATATTTCAGTTCTGAAAGTGAAAAATCCTTGTCCTTATTTCTAAATCAAAAGTGTTGATTTTCTGTCTTTTTTAAACATACACGTAGTTCTCAACTTATGATTGCAATTCAGCCACAAATTTATGTTGCTAAGCAAGACCGTTAAGTGAGTTTTGCCCCATTTTATGACCTTTCTTGCCAGAGTTGTTAAGGGAATCACTGCAATTGTTAAGTTAGTAACAGGGTTGTTAATGAATCTGACTTTCCCATTGTCAGAAGGTTGCAAAAGCTGATCACATGACCCTGAGACACTGCAACTGTCATAAATATAAATATAGTTGCTAAGCTTCCAAATTTTGATCACATAAGCATGAGGATGCTACAGTGGTCATAAGTGTAATAAGTCACAAGCAGTGTTGTAACTTTGAAAAATTGCTAAACAAATTATTGTAAGTTAAGGACTACCTATACCTATCCTTGATTTATAACCACAATTGGGATAGAATTTCTATTGTAAGCCATGGTCGTAAGTTGTCAATATATGTCAATTTTTATGGTGGTTAAGTAAATCACCTCAGTTGCTAACTGAATCACATAGTCAGTAAATGAAAAGCCCAGGGTTTTTTGCCAGAAATTGGAAAAAAAGTTGCAATTGGTTGTAAATATAAATGCCAGTTGCCAGACATCTGAATTGTGAACACATGACCATGGGAATGGTATGAGATTTATATAAAGTCAGTTTTTCCGAGCCCATTGTAAATTAGAACCATTGTTAAATCAGCAGTCATAAGTTGAGGTCTTCTAAAAGTATAAAGTGAGAATATGTTTGTGAGATACAAAAATTAAGCAAAACTTAGAAAAATTAGATTAAAAATAAGGAAGCTGTAACTGAGTATTCAGCACGTTACAATATTAGAGGTTCCTATTCAAGGCATGAATGAATTAGTTATGGTGTCTTTCATGATGTTCCTGATTTTTTTGTTTTTTTCAAAAGAGCATGTTCTGCATCATTGTGGTATTCAATGGGGTAATTTTTTTCTTTTTTTATAGAGACAATCCTTTGGTTTTCTTAAACCTACTGATATTTTACAAACACACTTGCATACTGTAATGATCCATGTGAGGAAAATAATTTCACTAAATAGGAATTTCTATTGTAAGCAATTTGAATTATATTATTCTAAAGGAATTTTCATGTTGCTAACATAATTAGGGATACAAATTGCAAATGTTTTCCAACTGATATTCTGAAAGCTTCAGTGGAATATATAAGAGCACCAGCTAAAAGAAAATTCATTCATTAAACTTACTTATGTAATAGGTGAGATGTGTGGTGTAGAAATCTATAAATAAATACAAATAGATTCATTCTAGGATGAGCAAATATGAAAAATCAATTTAAAAAGAATATAATACAAATAAAATAAAAATAAAATAGAAAGTCTGGAAAGAGAAAAAAGGGATAAATCCAGAGAATTAAGAGAGCTGGCAACAAAATACTGTAGCATCAGGGTACAAATAATATTTTCCCTCTAATTGAGATAGGAGCTAATTAAGAGCCACTGTATTCACAATGTTTGAATTTTCTTCCTGCTAAACTAGAAAAACAGCATATACTTCTAGGTGGGATTGAATTCTGTTGACATATTAAAACAATAAGAGTGTATGCTATCACAGCAGGGGCAATGGAAGAAAATGTGGGCAAGCTGCAGTGATGGGTTTCAATTTTTTTTACTACTGGTTCTGTGGACATGGCTTGGTGGGCGTGGCTTGGGCGTGGCAGGGGAAGGATACTGTAAACTCTCCAGTGTTTTGCCGGTTCTCTGAACTACTCAAAATTTCTACTACTGCTTCTCCAGAACTGGTCAGAACCTGCTAAATACTACCTCTGGGGCAAGGGTTTCTGCAAAAGAGATTTACTGATAAATACCTTCCCAATATTGCTGTGGGAAAGGTGTCAAAGCAGTTTGATAGCTCTATTGTGTGTAGAAAGGTGAGATTAAGTAGATACAATTATAAGTGGATTTTGATGAAAAATTGCCAGTAGGAATTCCCAGTAGCTCCAAATCCATCTGCGGTGTTATATTGAAAAGTAGCTGGCAAATTTCTCCTTTGGCTCCCTTTGAATTTCAAAAGCACATACACTGGGGAGAGAGATCAAATAAAGGTTGATTTTTAAAAATTCCTTCATTATGAAGGAGAGTTGTTGGAAAGAAATAATGTAGTCAGTGAACAGTTGGTATAAGAAGAACTTAATAAGGCAGGCAGGCAACAAATGCAAGCTCAGGAGCCCTATGTTTGATTAATCAATGCAGAATGAATAATAGAACGTCACTGCTATTTCCATCCATATTCTCTGACTTCTAGCATATGATGGTAGAACCTCAGTGATTTGTTATGGCACAGGATGGGCTAATTTAAGTGAAAGATGATTCTAAATCAACAAGAGGAAAAAAACCCGATTAAATGAATTTTTCCATTAACTGGGAACTAACGGTGCAGGTCAAACAAGTAAGATTATTATATACACTGCTATATCATTCTTACAGTGAAGGTAGGTAAAACTACTTTAAGAGGTAGACATGATGAAGTGTTGCTGTTCCATGAACTGAAATTTCAGTATTATATCTGGCAAAAGGACAGTAACATTTCTTATTTTTCTGCTAATTCCTTTTTGAATATCTTTGAAAATCAAGATATTCTGGTGCACAGTTTATGTAAGACCTAAACCCCATCTTGAAATATAAGTTATGTCCAGTGGATGGAATAACACCCACCAATGGATTTCCTCTTCTCCTTCTCTTGACAAATCTGTTTTAATGGCTGAAGGACATTCCAGAACAGATGAAAACAAAAGGTATAGATGGGAGGAGAGCAATAAAATAACCTGAATTGAATATAGAATTTAGTGAATGGATTTGCAGGCTGTGCTTAGGTTTTATCTTTCCTCTGTTCATTAATACCTTTTTTTAGAAGTGATTTAATTGAGAACAAAATACTTTGGTTTGTGATCGGAAATGAATCAGTTGCGAAAGTTATAAAACATTTGGAACTGATTGCATTAGGTTGAAAGAAAAAATAATTATGCATAAGCAGGCTGCTTTTCAACATTTCTGTTCAACTGACACTATTCAGATTTGTGAATGAAGTTATAATTTGTGTATCTCTCTAATCAGGGATGATTTGGCTGATGGACCAATATTTAGCAGAAGCCTTTTACGTCGTCGGAGCCTTGAGAGATATCCTTCTCGTGAGGAAAATCAGGCTAGTCCTTACAGTAGGAGACATGATGATGACTATCACAATAGGGATGTTTTCCTCCATCAATCAGACTATAGCATGAACTATGAGAATAAGCGAAGAGAAACTGATAGGGAAGGTGAACTACTTAGAAAATCCTTATATGCATTGGACGATAGAGGGCGGGAGCCAAAACGACCTCGATATGACAGAAATGACAGATTACTTGACATGAACACGGAACCACAAGGTTTCTTGTCAGGAACACGAAAATACCGTAAACGAAGTTTTAGTAGAAGTCCAAGTCCAACATATCTCAATGAAGATTTTCGCGAACTTGAAAGTGCTAGAAGGAAAAGAAAAGAAGAGGAACTGAGCAGAAATCTGAGTCGGGAACTATCAGGCAATAGCTATGCGATGACTGGTTCAACTAATCCAACGAAATCTTCTGAACCTCAGTACCATTATAGACCTGATGAGGCACCAGCAATGCCCAAAAAATCTATTTTGAAGAAACGTGTGGATGATCATCCTGTACAGGTTTGACACCACTCCACTCCATTTTTGTTACTGTCAGTTGTAATTTTGAAAAATCTCTTTAATGCTTAATTTCAACTGTGTTAGTTTATGGGCATATTTGTTTTGAAATTTAGGGCATCTATAGGGCATCTATAAGTCTTTAAATAATTATGGTCATCCTAGGGAAGTATTTCTAGAGTTAGTGATACACAGTGAACTAAATTTTAGAACTTAAAGAATATATTATTTTTAATGGCTAAAAGTTTAGTTTCAATATACTTGGGGATATTGGGGAAATGCCTTCATTAGCCTTATGAAATTCACAGAAAAAATATGCAAGCTTTTAAGACTCCTTGTTTACAAAAAGATTGAATGGAGAAAAATACCCACCTGAATTTTTACTGAACTCCTGCAAGATAAAAAGTGGGAGCTCTTGCCACACATGCTCTCCAAACGTGTTTAAAATACACATTTACTAAACACAAAAAGTCTTTAAATGAAAATAGAAGTATATATTAATCTATCAAAAATATATATGTAAAGTATATATTTTAAAGGTTGTAAAGGTTAAATTATATTTGTATGATTTAAAATATACAACTGATTACTTTTGGAATTTCATGAAACAATCAGAAGGAATTGATAAGTGGTATGCAGTGAACTAGGTTGTGTAACTTTTTCCAGACTGATAGTTTCACATAATCATTAAGTGGCATGCCAGGAGCATCACTCCAAAAAATTGGTGGGCCAGGCTGAAAATGTATGCAGGACTAGAACAAGTTCTAGACATTTTGTGTGTTAAGTCATTTCCCTAAATGGATTGCATAGTGCCGTGATGATGAACCTATGGCATGTGTGCCACAGGTGGCACACAGAGCCATTTGTTTGGGCATGCGAGCCCCAGCCAAACTTAGCTCACTGTGCAAGCACGTGCCTCCCAGCTGATTTTCAGCATCCCAGAGCCTCGAGGGAAGCCTCTGCAGCCTTTGAAGGGCGAAAAACAGGCCTGTTTCATCACTTCCTGTATTTCCAGAAATACTGGAAGTGATGAAACAGGCCCATTTTTTGATCTTCAAAGACTGCAGAGACTTTCCTCGAGCCTCCAGGAGGTTGAAAAAGTCCTCAAACGGGCCAAAAATCAGCTGGGAGGCAGATGCAGTGCAGGTAAGAGGGCAGCGTGGGGGGATCGCATGCGCAGGGGGCATGGGGGCCCCACGCGCATTGCCTTCTGGGTGCTGGTGTGCGCACTTTTCAGCACAAGAGCCCAAAAATGTTAGCTGCCACTGGCATAGTGGATTGGCCTTTTCACTTGCTCTACTCTAAGAGTCAGACTTTTTGGTTCTTACAAAAAAAGCATTTTTCCAAAGCTTTGCCAAGGATTCTATTTGCTTCCTATTTTTTCTCTGTCCTATTTGTTTTGCAAGGTAAGCTACAATCACAACAGAAGGAGTAACCATCGCTAGTTTTTTTTTCAATTGTTTTCCCCCCAGCAGTCCTTCGTTCTAGCTACAGTGACACAAACTAACAAATTTTTGAATGTCATATATCTGTGTTCAAAAAATAATATTTTTGAAGGCTATCATCTCTTCAAGAAACTCTCAGACTTCGTCTTCAAAGATGAATATTTGCTTAATAACTTCTGTTCTCTGCCCAGATCCAGTGTTCATTCTAAAAATCAGTTTAATCTTTCACAAAAGTCAGGAGCTGTGATTAACCACCTTTTTGTCCCAAACCTCCTGAAGAAGCCCTCCTGGAGGAAGAATTACTTTTTGAACATCTGAGGAACTATTAAGAACTATTTCCCAACAGCGTAGGATTACTGCTTTGTGTCATTTTAAGAGTATTAAGTTGCAAGATTTCTATCACAACCATATCCAGATAGGTGTCTGTACATAACTTTGGCTTAGGGATGTTAATGTGCTGTTGTTTTGAGGGGGTAATGGCACACTCCACTAGGAATGCAGTAGTCTCATCTGTATTCTCTACTGATGGCATCCAAGCAGACACATGCACCTGGTCTTCTGTTTCCTGAGGCATTGCAAACTGAATATTCAAATATCTGCTTCCTTTGGGAAATGTATCTTTCAGAGGATAGTTTCAATCTGATTGCATTCTGCATATTCCTGCACAGTGAGATTATTTTGGTATGTCCCACTATAGGCTGCCCTTCTTCACTGTTGGAAATGTGAAGGTCCATTTTCTACAGTGAGAGGGAAACTGGGCTTCCTGTATTTATGTTTCCTTGGGTAAGGATTTTACTAATCTTCCCATTTTTTTTCCTTTTGCTTCTTTTTCACTTTATCCCTGGATATTTTTGATTAACTGGATATTGGAGCTTTCTTCTGTTGATATTCTGAAAATACAGAGGTGGACTCTCTATCAATAAAAGAGAATATATGCAGTTCAGGTTTAAAATGAGGGGTCCTTGGTGCTCTCTGAGCCTGCTTCTTTTTTTGCAGACATTTCATTATCCATACTAGGTAATATCATCAGTGCTGGTGATTGCAAGAAAACAAGCTCAGAGAGCACCAAGGATCCCTCATGTGCTTTCTATGTGATTCCCCAATTCCAATTTGGGGCTATCTGCTACAGAATGAGGGAGCAGCAGCACATTTTAGGGTACCTTATTTCCATTATAGACCTCCATAGAATGCCCCATGTTATATTTTCTTATTTTGTCACATTAAGTATTACATGCAGGTTTGCAGCTTTTGAACTAATCTAGAATGTCAGATTATATATTTTGCAAAAAAAATCTTTAATTTTATATGCAAAAATGAAAAGAAAAAATGAAGGCTATTGTCCTATATTCTAATTAAAATGAACCTTATCTATTGATTCATGTAGTATATATAATTAATTTAGTAACATATACATCAGTTAACAATAAAAATAGAAAACTAAAAATATACCAGTATTAATATGTGAAGTCCAGAATTTTGATTGGTTTCCCACTGGACTCTGCAATAAACAAACTAAGATTGTTAAATATACAAAGAACAGATTGTCTAAATATACACAGATGTCAGTTTGTAACATAAAACTATGGTTAATCAGGCTTAAGTGGTGAACTGATTAGTGATTTCTGTTGGCCTTCAGATCAGGGTGTCAAGGCTGTGGAAGAAGTAGAAGGAGAAAATTGGGGAAGAAGATACTGTATTGATTTTCTTTAGTCTTACAGGATACACTAAAATAGTTAGGTCCTAGTGAAGAAAAGGAAGAAAGTGCTGAATAGAAAGTTTTCTATTCCCTTAGGTCTTCTTCCAGTCTTTTCAGCGTGGTTGGTAAGTTTTAAAGAAGTAGTCACTTTGTAGTGACTGAATTACCAGAAGCTAAGACAGTTTTATTTTTTCAAAGATCCAATCTGGTTCTTCTATATGGTTGAATCCTCCTATGAGTCACCTGTTTCATGATTGATCATTCATTCATTCATTCATTCATTCATTCATTCATAGTATATGGCTTGCCCATTTCAAGAATATGGCTAACAAAAGCAAAATAAAAATATAATAACAAATAAATACAACAAATTTTAAATTAACATATATCTCAGTGTGTCATAATTTGTTCTAGATTAATTAGTTTGATTCGCTTTCATGATTCTAGATATGTTGCAATTTCTTGGAAGCTTTCTTCCACATTGTAGTAAAATTTATGGAAGTATGAAGACGTTTCCCCTTGAATTACTTGTTCAGTTAGTTATTCACTTTCATAAAGAATGCACTGAGAATCACAGTTGTTCCCAAACTTTCTTCTGGCCTTTCTCAGTTGGTCTGCATTATCTACAATATACAAGTATTTAAACAGATTCTGATTCAAGGGTTGTGATTGTGGGGCAAACGTTTTCTATCTTCTACAATGAAGGAGATTATAGACATTCAATATAGGTTGTTCAAGAATACCTGATATTATGTTGGTTTCAGGTTGATTTTATGTTTTTTAAAATTATAAAATATTTAAATTTATCTATTTTTAGGCAGAATCCGGCTTCTTGATAAGGTACAATAGAGAAAGAAAAATTAAATTTGGTGTTAATTTTAGGTGGCAAATTTGAGAAAAAAATATTATGGTGGTTGTTAAGAAAATTAAACCATTTGCTAAACAAATAATATGGTTATAAGCGAATCACATAGATATTAGACAAATACAGCTTCCCTAATGGGTGTTTTTTGACCAGAATTGACAAAAACAAAACATTGCAATTAGCAATAATGTGACCTCTTGCCAAGAACCTGAATTGTGATCAGGTGACCCTGGGGAAGGTGCAGCAGTCACAAGTGTGAGTACAGGTAGCAAGTAGCAAGTCACTTTTTCTAAGTCCTAATTTTGAACAATTGTTAAGTGAAAGTCAAGGACTACCTGTGTAAGCCAAATTAAATAATGTTAATTATTAATTGAGGGTCTGTTTTCTACAAACAGACATAAAACTCTGTCCCCCTCCCCAAATTAACCTTACTAATAGTCATGAACATATGGTAAAATCTATTGTCTCCTAATATTTAGAGAACAAAATAAAAATAGTAAATATTAATATTTATTTATGAAAATGTATATGGCTGCCCAATTTATTCTCAGTAACTCTGAGTGGTTTACAAGAATAAAATCCCAGTACAAAAACAATATAAAAAGCAATAATCCCTCCACTTGGCAAATGAGCCACTTAATGCACTCCATATCATTCTGGGATCCCCAGGCCCATTGGCAGAACCATGTCTTCAGAGCCTCGTGAAAGAGTGCCAAAGTGGGGCCCAATCTTATCTTAGTAGGTTATTACTATACTGAGGTCTTTTGTTGCAACTGTCTTTAGTTTTGATTTTGAAATGCAAATTTAGTATTAAAATGTCCTTGGAGCTGTAAAATGCATTTTTTTCGATTCCTCAAAGCAACCTTTTAACATTTTCACTCTTCTTAGTCACTGTGTTCCTCCTTTGCTATTCCTTTGACATAAGCTTTTTTTTCTCCTTTTTAATCATTGTTAGGGGATCCCAAATAATCAGGGATCAAGGTATGAGGATCGCCAAGCCAATTAAAATTGGTTTTGTGTAAGTATGATTGAGGGCAAGTCAACCGTTTCACTTGTCCTATATGGGAGAGGGATGGTTACTACCAAGACAATCAAACTGACACAATTTTTGTTGTATTATTAGTTTTATTTCTCAGCAACACAACATTGCAAAATAGATTGGACCGCATTGGAGCATGTTACCATTATTCATCTGATACTTATCACTTTTGCAGCACTCTGAGCTTCTTTATCAAAGAGATAAGTGTTGTGACTTTAGATATAAACTCAGATATAATTGTGCAATATCTATAGTACTGTGACAAAAATAACCACACAATATTTTGAAACATGCATGTGTTTTTCAGTCTCAATTTTTTCTTTTTATAATTTCCTGTTTGGGTTTTAAACTATTGAGTATAATTCAACTATATGAAGATGTTGTCTTATGAAATTGACTATTGATTACATTAATTATGGAATGCAGTAACAAATGATGGTTTTTTTTCTTTTTTAGCCTGAAGTCTTTTCTAGCGGTTCTTCCTCTATTAAAGATCCCCCACTTCTTTCAAATCATTCTTTGCCCCAGCGTAGTAGCGTTGCTCCTTTTTCATTGGAGGTAGAGAATTTCCTCAAACAATTCAACAAAAGTGCAGTTGCAGAGTCTACCAGTAAGGAAACTCAAGGCAGTGAACCTGACTGGAGACCATTTTCTGGTCCACATCAAAATACTCTTCCTACTGAGCAAAACTCTGAAAATTTTCTAAAACAAAAAGAGTCTCATGAGTCAACATCAGAGTCTGTTGACCAGCCTGGTGATTTCCTGCTTCCTCATGAAAGAGCCAGCCAGGATGGAAGTGGCTTTTCACGCATTCTGGGCATTTTGGGAGTCATGGCAGACTCTAATAATATGGAAGAAAAAAAAAGGAACAGTTTTCCTGATGACCTTGAGGATGAAGAGAAATTTCTTTATGGTGATGATGATGACGATTGTAATACCAGCTCTCCATCTCCTCAAAAGCTAACATTGAGTGATGAGAAGGAATCTGTAAGTCAAAAAGTAGGTTCTCCACCTCCTTCAACTGTAAAACCAAAACCATTAGATGAATCCAGACCAGAGTATGAGAAGATTCATAGTTTGCTTAAAACTATTGGTCTTGACATTGGGGTGGCCGAAATAGGTAAACTTGCTACTCGTACTCAGGAACGTCTTCATGGAAAAAAGTCATCTCGTTCACCTGATCGCTATTCAGTAGCTTCTTCCAAACCAGAAATGTGGGAGAGGCGTCGCAATCGCAGTGAAACTTATTCTCCCGAATCAAACCAGAAGCACTCTCTCTCACCTACTAGTTCTTATCCATTATCTAAAGTTAGATCCTCTGTTACAAAATCTGAGCACAATACAAGCAAAATGTTAGGACGAGATAATCCTCCTGACACAGTTGAGCAGTCTGTTCCTCCACTATCTCTAATTCCATCAGCTCCACCATCTCTTCCTAATTTGTCACCTACACCCACCTCTGTTTCCCAATACAGACTTCCAAGCTTTTCACCTTTTCCTACACCACAGTTGCCACAAAACTATCCTTCTCCCACAATGGCCCCTCCTGGCTATGATGCGTATGGACACTACATGGCTTATGCAGCTTCTGGCTGGCCCATGTATGCTCAGCAGACTGACCCTGGGCTTACAGATATGCATGGACTTGTCACACTAACAGTGCCATCAAATCCAACACGGCCCAATCTTAGAGTTATTGAGACAGTTTCCACAGCCAAAGGGACTCCTGATACCAAAAGAGATGACTCTGTGCTTGTGCAAATCCCTACAGTAGCTTCTTATTCAAAATTACACCCTCAGTTCTCTCAACCTTCATTAAGAGGTTCCAAGGAAAGAATACCTGATGAAAAAAATCGAGCTTCTAGGAAACAAAAGGTGGGTACTTTAAAAAAAAAACTATTTTAAATATATAATGTAAAGGCCTAAAATGTTGAACATCTGTGTATATTTTTCAGTTTCACTAAATTTTCTTTTTGAATTTTGCTTACATTATAACTACTTGAAAACTTCAAAAAATCTAAGCTGCTCCTGAACACAGTAGCAGGCATATTGGATGGTTAGTCATGATACTGTCATATTTCATCTCTGCTGTGAGAACTGCATTGGCTATCAGTAGGTTTCTGAATAGAACGTTCCAATATAGACCTTAATGCCTTGATATCCTAGGGAATTCCTTTCCTCAATAGTTCTATCTGTCCTACACAGACATCTAGGAAGGCCTACTAAAGGTTTCTGCCTACCAGGAATTATGGTGGAAAGGGGTGTAACAATGGGCATTTTCTGCAAAAAGTCCCACTTATTTGGAGTATCTTAGCCCTTCAGATAAGGATGTTCTCAGCCTCCTGGCGTTCTGAAAGCTAGTAAATTTTTGACTCTTCCAGAAATAACCAGCAGTACCAAACTCAATAAAATGTAGGTGCTTATGCTGGAATTTTAATTGATTAGATTGCGTTTAATATTTTAATTATATTGTATTTCATATGTAAGCTCTGTAAACTTGGTTTGGTAAACAAACTTCATAAATGTGTTTCTAGTAGGAATATCCATAATATGAAAACCAAATACTGTTTTGAACCTGGAGAAAAGCATCACTAGCATCACTTGAAATATTCTATTGGGATAGTCAGGTTGTTTATGTTTTCTGAGAAAATAAAATTCAACATGTTTTAAATGCTTTATTCCAACGTTATAAAAATATGTTCTGTTTTAAGCTTGAAATATACAAGATAGCCATGATACTCCATATCATGAATAAACCATTCATTTAAAGGTTATTTTTTGTGACCAGAAACTTGCATTGTTTTTTTTTCTTTTATTGTAGGGACAAAACAGAATATTTTCCTGTGGTGTCAAAAGAGTTCATTTTATTTTAACTTTGAAATATTTTGAGTTAAAAATGTTTTAGACCCTGATTTCAAGGGATAATTAGTATTTTAGAATGAAACAGACTAGATCAGAGGTTCCCAACCCCTGGGCTGGGGCCTTTTCAGAGCCAGGCCGGCATGTACAGGTGTGCATAGCTCAGCTTGTGCAACTCTACCTGTGCATGTGCACAACAGCCTACCACTTGTATGGCCCAATTCCCCTCCCCCCTGCTAGGCCACCAAGAAACAAAGTTTGGGGACTGCTGGACAAGATCATAATCTTGGAAATAGGCAGATTTATTTATTAAATTTATACACTGACTCTGGGCAGCTTACTACATGATGAAAATAACAATATAAGACATTTAAAACATTAAAATGATCAATATTAACATTAAAATTAACAAATATTAGCCAAGGAAGAAACCAAACATGGAGATAAATTTCAAGTGAATTAAGTTCATGGTGAAAAATTATTCTGTATTGTAGTTTTGTTATATTTTTGCTTGTTTTTCATTCAGTAGTGAAGAAAACCATTTAAAAATTATGAATGCTTAACTCAGACATAATACATTTGTGTTATTTAATACACATTTACATACTTAAAATATTTGTACTGTGTTGGAATTGATTGATTCCAAAAGTGGTTGCAGATACTTCAGTCCATTAATTTCAATAGGTTTAAATATACTTTATCTTGCATGGCTTGTGACTTACTTAAAATTGACTTATAGACCATAGTACTTCCCAGCAGAAGATAGTTAATGCTATAGAATTTTGATGTGATCCTTCACTGAAAAATAAACACAGATGCAACATATAACAAAAGAGATGCTATCTCTGATAAAAGTTAAATTTGCACAATTATTCAAATGATTACTCGAAAGTCATTGAAATCACTTGGATTCAAGGTGCAATGTACTTTAATTACCACATTGATTTTTGCAATGTTGCTTTACCTTTTGCTAAGGAAGATGGTGGTTTATGCAGTTTTTTTTCTTCAACACTATTTTAGGTAGTAGAAGAAATTGAGAAGTTGAAAGCTGAACAGGAAGCACGGCAAAAAAAACTACATTATCTCAGAGCTGAATTAAACAGACTTTCAAAACAACAAGGTACTGTTTCTTCTCATGCCCCATCTTTCCTGGGATGTTTTTAAATAGAGTTTGATATTATATAATCAGCTGGATTAAATGGCTTACGTTTGCTACCTTTCTATTATATGCATCCCAGAATTTACTACACTCAGTGGTGCACCCCTTGTGACATTTGGGTGAGCCATGATATTTAATAATGTTAATGATTACAATCATTTTGCATTTGTGAGCTTAATTTTTTTACCTTTTGTACTCAACCACTTTGTTTGATTCAGGGGAATTGCTTCGGAAGAAACGGAGGGAGAAGGATGGACACAAAGACCCTTTACTAATAGAAGTCAACCGACTGCAAGATAACATTGCGAAGGAAATAGCTCAGCTGAAGATGAATGCTGATGCTGCAGAGAAGAAACAATCTGAACTTGACAAGGTAGCCCAGATCCTGGGGATTAATATTTTTGAGAAATCCCGGAAACTATCTTCAGAAAGTAAAGAGTCTTCAGAAAATGCAAGGACTCAGGAGAAAACTTCTGATCTAGTCAAGGTAAATTCTAGGTACTGATGCTAACTTATTATAGCCTGTATGAAAGAAAGGACATTTTTTTGCCCCTGGTGTGGGTGTGCGCACGCGGGCGATGTGTGCTGTGCCTTTGAGTCTGTGTTGACCGCCTGGACAATTCCCTGCAGATTTATTTGTAACATTGCAGAAACGGTTTTGCCATTGCCTCTTTAATAGGCCTAAAAAAAATGGTAATTCCACCTCACTGAAACAATGAAATATTCTTTGGCTTGACCAGAATATGATCTATATTGCAATTGGTCTCTCTGTTTCTTACACACACATAGACACAGTGTATGTATGTGGGCGTAATATTTACTAAAAGCTGGTTTTAAGGAATTCTCTTATTGTATACCTCATAGATGTTTTTTTTAATGTAGGAACCAAAAACTAATAGTGACAGATTCAAGGAAAAGAGTCCTAAGCCTATGGAATCATCTTCACAGCCATTGCAAGGGACCAGTATTTATGACTACTATGATACAGGGAATCATTGGTGTAAAGATTGCAATACTACCTGTGGAACTATGTTTGATTTCTTCACACATATGCATAATAAGAAACATAGACAGGTATGTGTCCAATAATCAATTTGCAATTAATGTATATAAGCTATAAAATACATTTTTAATGGCAAAGAGTCCCATGCTAATTAAGTATGCCTTTAAAAAGTTAGTTTACTTGTTTATTTAGCATTGTTATATTTACTTAAAATTGACTTGCATAGCAGCCAATATTGGACTTCATTATTCAATCTATATTTATCAATACACTGTCATTAAAGCCTACACTGTTATGGAAACTGAAGCTTTGTGTCATCTTAAGTGATATGTGAAATCTCTGGGTTTTTGACCGATGAACTTGGGAATAAATCCACTTATCTATATTCTATAGTGTCTCTACCATAAGCAAATTCGGAAAAGCTGACATTTTAGAATAGAATAGAAATAATCAACAGAAATCTTGAGATACAACATCAAAGTTATAGTCAAAAGAATCTAAGGTAATAGGACAGGATAATAATTAATACAGCCCTACTAGGTGGTTTGACATCCTAGGGCATAGACAGTCTTGTGGGAATTAGTTGTTTAGCAGAATTATAGCATTCGGGGGGGTGGCGGGTGGAACTGTCTTTGTGTCTAGTTGTTTTGATGTGCAATGCCCTATAGTGTCATCTTGAGGGAAGAAGTTGAAACAGTTTATGTCCAGGATGTCAGGGGTCTATAGATATTTTCGCAGCCGTCTTCCTGGATTATGTATTTTACACAATAACACTGGGCGTGGCCAGCTTGATGTCACTCGTGTCAGGGCGCCTGTGGTGGCCCGAGAGCTCTGCCACTGAAAATGGGCTCATAAGCCGCTTACAAATGTGATCAGGCACAGCTAGCTGAATTAGTTTAGTGAGAAGAATATCTGGAATGATGGTATTGAATACTGAGCTGAAGTCTACAAAAAGGACCCTTGCATAGGTCCTTGGAGATTCAAGATGTTGTAAGATGTGGTGCAGTGCCATATTAACAGAATTATCTGCCTGTCTATTTGTTCATTAGGCAAATTGTAATAGGTCTAACAGTGGAATTGTGATGGTTTTCGGGGGGCCAGTACTAGCCTTTCAAAGGTTTTCATAACTATGGATGTCACAGCAATCTGTCCATAGTCTTTCAGCTCCTTGATGGATGGTTTCTTTGGCACAAGGAGCATTTGAAGCAAGAAGGAACATAACACATCTCTAGCGATTTATTAAAGATGCAGGTGAAGATTGGGGCCAATTGGTCAGTACAAACATTCAAGCAAACAGTTACCTTATCTGGGCCTGGTGCTTTTCCTTATATGGGCTTGGTGCTTTTCTCTTGCACATCTTATTCTGTGATCACAGACCTACTCTCAGCTGATCCTTGAGTCTTGAAGATTTGCCCCAAAGTGAATAAAGACGCAAGCTCTTCTGTAGGCCAAGGATAGTTTATTCTGTGATAAGCAAATAACAAACTCTCCCAGCAAGAATGGCTCAAAGCCAGGCAAGATTAGCGTTGAGTGTTTCCCCACCCCATTCCCTTTTATTACAACAGTGACACCCATGCCTATACGCAGCTGCAATTCTGGCCCCGACTAGCTCATTACCCCCCCTTCTGATAGCTCACCATCACAAATGCCTACTTCCTTATCCTATCTCGCCTTTTTATAATTTATCCCCACCCTGTGCCACCTTCACCCCCCCCCCCCCCCCGATCCATTCCTACCTCCACCCCTCACCTATGAGTTTCCCAACTGGCTCCCAAGCTGCTCCGTAGCAACTAGATGTCCCTGTCATTGTAAATACACCGGCAGATGTTCAGCTGTCAAATTAAGTCTTCGGCGGCCGGGATGCATCCAGAGCTACATCAAGTTGACTACATCATCATAGTGTGACTCCTAGCACAGTTGGACATCAGGCGCTCGCAGCATAGGACAGATACAGTGCCGGCGGCAACCAGGGCAGCTCAGCCTCCCAGAAGGATGATTCTCACTGAGTCCGGCGAACTGGCGGTCTCCGAAGCAGCGTTGCACTCAGAACCTGACAGGCAGCCCCCTCTACCATAGGTCCGCCTGCAAAACAGGGAACAACATAATATTACCAAGGGTAACCCGGTAATCCTCTGTACTCTGCCCCCTGCTTTCATAGGGTATTGTGTATGGAATCGTCATTGTAGACATGGTGCATTCACATGTTCATGGCTAACCATGAACGGTGAGTGTCTGAGACTGGTTGTAATAATCCCAATGGCTTTCCTGACCTCATTTTCGCAGTAGCACAAACAGTACATTCTTTAATATAGGTCTCTATCTCTGCTCTCATAGCTGGCCACCAAAATTGACGTTTCACCAGATGTAACGTCTTCAAAAATCCATAGTGGCCTGCCTGTTTAGAATCATGACGGTGTTTTAGTACTATGTCTCGTAGTGCTAGAGGTATATACAGCTTTGTATCCCTCCATGCCAATCTGTCCCGACTTTCACATAGGGTGGGATTCTCCTTCAACCATGGATCATTCTGTATTGCTTCGTGAAGTTCTGTTGTCAATTGGGATTTCAATGAACACATGGAATCCTGTCCTGGGATAAGAGGTTGTACTACCTCATCTCTCTGGTTGTTATATTGTGGTAACCGTGAGAGTGCATCTGCCATGAAGTTCTTTACAGCAGGCATATATCTCAACACGAAGTTAAAGTGCTGGAAATATAATGCCCACTGTACATGTTTAAGGTATAGTTTCGGAGGTGATTGCAGTGACTCAAGATTCCTGTGATCAGTCCATACCTCAAACAGGACTTGAGCCCCCTCAAACAAATGCCTCCGGGATGTTAATGCCCAACGAACTGCAAACGCCTGCCACCTACAGTAAAACACATTCAGGTCATCTGCCAGTTGTTATTTCTCTTCTGCATGGGAAGGAGGTTTGTGGTAGCCAGTGATGTCTTTAAGGGTTTTCCACAAAATTGCTGGTTCATTTGTTGAGAGCTGATTCCTCAACTTTTCAAAGTAGCTTCTTTTTACTGCTCTGATCTCCTTTCTTAATACATTTCTGGCCTGATTGTACAGCAATCCTTTCCTGTAGGTTTCCCCTTTGGCACAATGTAGCTGCTTGAGTTTAGTTGTGAACCAAAGTTTGTTGTTACTGTGTATTCGCAGGCTATAGTTCCAATTTTTCCTCTCAATGTAGGAATAAAAAATTACTAAGAAATCTGAGAGGAAAGATTGAAATTTATAGAACTGACATTTTTTGGGATTTGTAATCAATTGTTTAAACCAGGGGTCGCCAACCTTTTGGACCTCAGGGACCACCAAACTCATAATTTAAATCCCGTGGACCACTCATATGAATTTTGACTGACGGTGGCTTGCTGACGTTGGGGGAGGGGAGAGATAGAGAGATCTGATCTAACCTCGGAGGGTTGGCAATGATGTTCTCTCTCTCTCTCTCTCTCTCTTTCTCTCTCTCTCTCTCTCTCACACACACACACACACACACACACACACACACACACCCTACAAGGCAGCCACATTCCTAACCTGCTTTTCAGCTCTGTTCTGGGGGGGGGGGAGGGTATTCTGCAATCCCAAATAAAAAATGATCCATCTGTAGGATAACGGGATGGAGGATTTTCCTGCAGACTTTTGGGGGGATTTTCCCAAGGTCTCTGTCTGCAGAGATCCTGGGAAAACCCCCAAAAAAGTCTGCAGAAAAATTCCCCACCTATTTTCCTACCAATCGATTGTTCTTTATTTGGGATCGCAGGATACCATTTCCAGCTCTGTTGTCAGGGAGGGAGGGGCAGGCTTTTGGCTTCATGCAAGGAAAGCAGCAGAAGCAGCAAAAGTCTTTCTTTCTCTCCCCCAAACTCCACCTGAAATGAGTCTTTGCCGGTGCAGCATTTTGGAGCAGGATGCCTTGCACAGTCCCAAAGACTCATTTCTGGCAGAGTTTGGGGGAGAGAAAGAAAGACTTTTGATGCTTTCCTTGCGTGCAGCCAAAAGCAGAAGAAAGAAGTGGAAAGAAGCAGCCTGGTAGCCAGGCAAGTTCTCCCCCCCCCCCACTCTTTTCCTCCTCCCCTCACTACCTCGTATTGTTCGCAATGCAAGTGACACAAGCCTTGTGTTCCAGCAGGCCATGTGGGCAGCGCAGCCTTGTGTTCTCGTGCAGCCTGGATTAATTGCTTTGGGGGTGACATTTTTCTGCGAACCACCAAACTTTTCTCCCGGACCACCAGTGGACCGCGGCCCACCGGTTGGCGACCACTGGTTTAAACCATAGGATCAGTTTGATTTGACTGCAGTTTGTGAGATGATAGAGTACATACAAACTGATACGTTTTTAACTTTTCATACTTTATTTGTAGTAAGTTATTGTGGAGAGAGGGATTGCAATTCTTCCACATATGCTGCTGGTATCAATTTCTTTTTGACTAATCTTAACTTTGACCAAAAGCCAAGCATCTTTTTTATGTATCAGTCTATATGTTTTTGTCATTGTGCAAATAGACCCTGGATCCATATAATAGACCCTGGGCAGCAAAGACTCAAAATGAAACAAAGCAGGAAGTCACAAAACGAATTGACAAAATACCTGTTCCAGCCAAAGGTATGCTGTCTGTCTTACTTTTAATTGCTCAGAGCACACTATCACAGGCCATTTTAATGTTAAGCAGTGTGCAGCTTTGCTTATTTGTTATTTATTTATCAAATTTATTTGTCGCCCATCTCATGATTCTGGCGACTCTGTTTAGATTTTTTTCTAATTTTTAAGCAATTTTTTTTTCTTGATTAATGCTTTACTTCAGAAGTAAGTAGAAGTGGAAAAGCAAATTATATTTGATCTGTATACTGGGTTGAAATAACTGTAATAAGGAATGATGGACAATTCCATGTTTTTATTTAAAATTTCAGATCAAATTATTCTAACAGGAACTGTGTTTAGGATCCATAATATATTTTGCTGATACTACCTTAATTGTTGCTTTGTGCTTACTAAAATTACATAGTTTCCTAATCATTTTTTGTGACTGAATCTTGCGGGGGGGCATTTTAGGTTCTGAATTTCTTATCCCAGTCACTGGATACTACTGCCAACTCTGCAGCGAATTCTTTGGAGACCAGATATCAGCAGAACAACACGTCAAAAGTCATCTACATAATGAGAAATATAAGGTTAGTCTCCAGAATATTAGTTTCATATAACTCATTAGTGCATGTCATAATTAATGCCCTGTCTTTTAAAAGCAATTTTCCTCTTGACTTCTGTTAATAGCAAGGTAGGACAAAGCCATTTTTGACATCTCTAGATATAGGTGGGACATGATATTCGTTGACTGTAGGGAGCTATTGCCTGCAAGTACAAACTGTGCTGAAGAATCAGAAATGTGATTTAATATAAAGCAGGTCATAACTTTTGAATGTGGCTGTATTTTACTTTTTTTATATTTACTTTGCTATCTGGCACTTTTGTCTTTTTCATTTTGTTAAAAATATCATCTCAATATTCTTAGTAGAAATTCAGAAAGTTTTTAATGCTTGACTTGTGCTACTTAAAAGGTATAAATTATGTCATTCCTCCCACCCCCCAGCCTCTTTTCCAGTAAATACAGTTAATTCATCAGGTAGCAGAATAAGAAAGATAATAAATTAAGAATCCAATCTTATTCCAATGGATAATTGATGCATTAAGTAATAGTGCTGACATGTTTCCTTTCATCCCACAGAAACATGTGGATGAGAATCCTCTGTATGAAGAAAGGCGGAATCTGGATCATCAGGCAGGATTGTCTGTGATTCAGGAAACTGAACGCAGGCTGAGACGGAAACTGTGTGAAAAACAAAAAGAGGAAAATGATGAGAAGACAACAAAAACAGCAAAGAAAGAAGAAACAAAGAATATCAAAGAATTAGGGGATGGGAATAATGAATGTGAAATTAGTAAAAGGAAAGAAACCCCTAATGGTGAAAAATGTGGGATTAAACTTAAATTGAAGAAAGATGACAAAGAAATGGAGAAGGAAGAGAGAAAAGAGGAATCTGAAAAGGAGTCAAAACTAACCACTTTTGGAAAATTCAGTTGGCGAAAGAGTGAGAGAGATGAGAAAAATCAGGGGAAAGATATAGCAGCTTCTAAAGAAGAGAGCCCTGAGGAAGGTAAAGATAAAGAAAATAAGTCCCAATCTGGAAAGCAAAATTCAAAACCCATTGCAATTAAGTTATCTGGAAAAACCGTCATTCCACATACAAGCCCCTGGACACCAGTTGTTTCAACTTCATCGCAAACCAAAATCCGCCCCAATCTACCAATCCCAGTGATGGTTCTAAGGAAGACTGCAGTTACAACAGTAAGCAAGCCAGCACCCCTAAATACTTTTTTGTCTATAAAATCTTCTGGTACCACTGCCAAACCTCTGCCAGTTGTCAAAGAGGGAAATCCAGACATTGTCTTGCCACCAGATATTATATCAAAAGCATTTGGGGGAGAAGTAGTAGTTTTAAAGGGATCACAGGAGGATATAAAAGAAGAAGCAGAAGAAGGTGAGCATGAAAGTGAGACAAAGCCTGTGGAACATGCAAATGTAACGAAGGCCCAGGAGCATGCAGAGGTAGTGGCCAAAGCTCAGGTAAAGGCACGGGAACTTGCAGCAATGGTGAAAGAACAAGATGTCTCGCACATGACAAAAGCAAATGAGCAATTACTTGAGAAGCCACATAGGCGCCCTCCTCTACTGCCACTGCCTCCAGGACCACCACTGTCACTACCTGTACCACAGCCACCACCGATTGTATTTGCTCCTCCACCTCCTCTGCCACCAAAACAACTGGTTATCCTGGCAGATGATATGGCACCTGGTGTATCCGAGGATGATAAGAACATATTGGAGATGCCAATGTGTCCTCGCCCCTTGCCACCTCCAGCTGTTTTTGGGGAGCATGTTAAAAAATTAAAGAAAAATAACTCTTCTCTGGCTGCAGGCAATGCTAAAGATCTATATGACATTTTTTACAACAGTAGTGGGAGGAATCCAGCTGAGAGCAAGCTAGTAAATTCTGTAATTTTAGAAAAAGAAAAATTGAATCTTACTGAGAAGGAGAAAAATACAAGTCTACAGGTAAATTCCAAGCCAAGTTGTAATCCTTTTTCAGAGGAATTTCTTTGCAATGTGTACACTTCCTCAGCTAGCAACCCAGAAACAGAGGAAGTAAAAGATGAGAAAACAATGACAATTGATGAAATTACTGAAATCAAAACCAGTGTTGAGGGGGACCTAGAAAAAGTCTCATTTTCAGATATGCCGTCTACATTGTCAGAAGCAGATGATTTAGCAAGAACTACCTCTTATCCATTCCATAATGAGGAAGAAGTGGGAATTCCTGTTCCATCTGAATTTAACAAGAAATCATTTAAACCCGAGAAAAGTGAGTTAGCTGTCCAGATAGAAAAAATGGGACCTCTTCTTTTAGATGGCTTTAATGAGCCATCTGTCAGCCTTGAGACAACAGAACATGAAATTTCTGATGATCGATCTGACACGCAATTATCAGAAATCTCCAACAATCTTCCAGAAACTGTCTCTGATTCTGTGCAAAATGACAGTTATTCTAAAGAATTATCCATTGATATAAAACTAGACACTAAGGAATGCAATAGTGGGAAAAGTCCTCAGCCTTCCAAGGTTCAGTATTCAGATTCAGAGCTAAACAAAGTTGAATTAGACTCTTTCCTTACAAACAATGATCAAGAGGATTTGAATGGTACTCAGTTAAAGGATGGTGAGGATTTCAGTGTAGTTAACATTCTAGAATCTGAAGAGATTACAAATGAGAACTTTGTTAATGTAACAACAATAAGTACCACAGAAGAGAAATATGAACAAGCCAATCCATTTCCATTAAGCTGTGAAACCAAGGAACTCCAAATGGAAAAAACAGAAGTGTTGGATAGTATTTCTTCTACAAATGAAATTAAACCTAGTTATGTGGAATTCATGTTTATAGAACATGATACACAAAAATCACCTGCCTCTGATTTGGAATTAAGTGGCACTGAAGAGAGAAGAACTATAGAAACAGAAAGTGCTAATTTTTCAACACTTCAGCCAGAAATGGGCCAAGAATCACTTGATCCTCTTCCAACAGAAATCAGTATTGGGCATCTTGGAGAGGTGACCCTTTCCTTCACAGATTTGAATACTGAAGTATTGAATACCTCAACAGCTGATAATTTTGACTTAAACAATACATATCCAGAACTTAGTTTTGAACAGTCTACTACTTTTTGTCTGGATTTAGAAACTGAAGGAGTCTCTCCAAAATCTGATGAAATAAAGGCTATGGATTCTTCCAGATTGAAACCAAATTTGGAATTACAAACCATTGATTTCACTCTGGGAAATATTACAGTAGAACATGAAGTGGTGGATATTCTGCCAACTGAAATTTTAAATGAGGACAATGTAGACAGTCCAAAGTTAGAAATGGTTGCACCTATCTGTTTAGAGTCTAGCAAAATGAGCGAGTTGGACACTGACCAACCAGTGATCGAATCAGAAATAATTAATTTTGTTGCATTTACCTCTGATGATCAAGAGGAGAAGTTTTGCTCGGTGGTTTCAGATGCAATTATTCCACATGTGGTGTCTTCTGCATCGAAAGGTGACATGGCAGAAGTAAGCATGCCCCTTGTTCAATTGCAGGATATGTCTTCTGTTTCCATGCCCCAACCCCCATATAGTAGCAAAGGAGACACGCCTGACCAGCTGCTGTGGAGCAGTGGTGGGGAAAATATCCAAAACCAAACTGTGACATGCATGGAATCCATCCTTCCAAAACTAAAGGAATCTGGAGAAGTGGGGGGTTCAGGTGACAGTGAAATGTATACACTTAAGAATCAGATGCAGACTTCCATAGATAAACTGACAAAGCCAGAGGAAGAGAAGAATGATGATAAATGTGAAGTTAAAAATAAGTTGGCTTCAGAAGTAACTGACAAATCTGCAGAGCACCTGGTAAGTACAGACAAAATTGTTCAAAATCTTTAAGCAGCAATTGTTGAAATTTTGTAAATATTATATTTTAGCTTAATAAGTTGAAAATTTATAACTTGCAAATAGTCTTTTGTAAAAAAAATAATCTAAAATTCTGGCTAAACTGTAAAGTATATTGTATATATCTGATTGTGTAAAATATTTCTTTTTCAGTCTTGGACTTCCAGCCATTAAAAATGGATTTCTCATCCGTAGTATGCATTTCAGCTATGGTTTGGTTTTTTTTAATTATTATTTCTGTAAAACTGTGACTACTTTTTACATTTTTCTTTGACTTTTTATGGTTTCTGATTTATACAGCTTTTGTAAATAACATTCCAAGTGCAACACTGACAAGTGCAAGGACAGGTGTTCAGGACTTGACAAAAAAAGAAGGCTCTTGAGCAGAAAGTTTCTTTGAAACGTTTTGCATGTTTCATTGCACAAACTGTAAAATGCATGAAAAGTGTTCTGCATTTTTCATCATGCAGAAGATTGTTCTGCATCTTTTACTTGTTATTATCTTGTTGAACTACACCTGTAATCAAGACTGTGATGCCATATTGTATAAAATCCTGTTTGGATGCCATCTCACTGAGCAAAGGAGAAATATCTATCAAGTCACTTTTGGAGAAAGAAAATCTTTGGTAAGGCTGTGGCCCATCAATTGGACTCTGCATATTGAGGTCACTTGCATGATTTAAAAATCACATTTTATTTTACTACATTGTGGTACAGTTAACTGTTTGTGTTAAATTGTTTAGCAGCTGCCTAACTCAGAAGAAATGGAAGATCTGAATTTTGCTCTCTGGATTGGATTTCCATCATATAACCAGACAATACATGCCTGAATGAATCCCTGAGCTACAAAAATACTGTTGTGTGAAGGTTTTCAGTTATACAACTTGTCAAGAAACGCAGTGATGTTTGCATGGATTTATCTAAAAGGTTATATCTGTAAATCTAAAATAAACCCATGATGAGCTGCGACATGATAAATATTTCTTCTGTGTTTTTCTTATGTCTGCTTAATAATGTTTGAATTCTGTGGTTGACATAAAGCTGATAAAAGTCTTCAAGTTTTTCATTTTTCAAATTCACCTGATCAGTTTCTTAAGAGAAAACGTTGTTTAAACATTGCAAAGAATTATATACTTTCCATTTTAAAATAAAAAGTAAAACTAAACTTGTTTTGAATTTTAAATATACTGGTTCATCATACAAGATCAGTGTGGATAGAACATGTGAAATACCTTGTAAATACAAGAAAAAAATACTTTGGTGGAAATAAAATGGCAATCTTAGAAATCATTTCCTGTGAATGCATAGACCTCTAAATTATGAAATGTTACTCAATCTACAGTGCTTTGCTAACAACTTTCTTTTTGAGTCTTGGCTCCTGGCACCTACATGTATAAATCTTTGCAGTTTTCATAGCAACATTTTTGAAAACTGATTTGCCATTGACCTATTCCTAGAGCTAAGAGAGAATGGCTGGCCCAAAGTATCCTAGCTAGCTTTATGCCTAAGTCAGTAATAGAATTAATAGTTTCTTCATTTCAAGACCAATCAGAATTTAGGTCCTAGTTAGTAACCAGAGGTGATCAAAATAGCACATGGTAACCAATGATAGAAATGATCAGATGTAGGATAGCATAAAGTCAGAAATATAGCTAAGATGTAATTGTCTGTTTGCATCAAGGTAGCTAGGAGTCATGTGGCCAGCTCTGTTGGTTTAATTGTACAATTGTTGAACATGCCTGAATAAAATGTATTCATTTAATAAATATTTATATCCTGCTCAATCCAGCAAGATTCAAAATAACTTACACATTACAGTAATGTAGCAATAATGATAGCAAAACAAAATTACAACTTCATGAGATGCTGTGGCTTGCACCCCACATACTAGGTCAACTTGTTAAGCATGGAATGCCAGTAAGTAAATGAGTGTAAATCTGTTCATCTTTCACTGTTTTGTTGCATACTGCTGATGGTTTAAGGGTTGTTTAAAGAAGCAAGTTAAATATACAATGTTATTCTAATAAAATTATTACATTCCCTAGCATTATCCTACCAATGTACTAAATGTACAACCTTTTCTTCTCCTTTCAGTAACTTTTTGTAACGTTTACAATAAGGCTTTGAAGCATATTAGATTAAGAGATGGCAACTGGCCCAAGGCCAGGCATTGAGCTAGTGTCTCCCCAGTCTCAGTCTAGGACTATATTCATTACATAACACAGGGTTTATAATTTCTCATATTCTGGATCAGATTATTACAGCAATCTCTTCCACGATATGCAAAAGGCCCTCGCTTATTAACCTGTACGAAAGTCATTAAACTTTTGCTCTCCCCCATGCATTCAAGGCCAGTTGAGTCAGTCCCCCTGTAGTTGTGTGTTTGGTAGTCACTTATTGTTTGTATTTATATACAGTCTAGTTTTTGTTTCAAGTGTGTTATTTATTGTATACTTTTATTATTTATGAGTTGGGAGGCCTTATACATGCTAAAAATAAATAATCTGGACTAAGGTCTCAAGATTCTGAGTAAAATTCCTACTCGTTTTATTACATATTATATGCATATTCTACTTCATAAATAATATACCTTCTGTTCTATTCTATTCTACTTCATTTACATATAAGCAAGCAAGCTTCAAGAGAAAAATCATCATCCTTTAGTCCATAATAATCCAGGGATGAGTATAGTTACAAAGAAACAAGTATGGATAATAAGCAGTAACTGCAGATAGAAGGGTCAATGAGAGAAAAATCCAGAAAAATTGGTAAATATAAAATACTTTCAAATGGACAAGCAAATGTGGACAATAATAATGTTGGTTGCGGCAATAGTGGTTGATGTATTTGATGCTGTATCAAAAGATCTGAGATTGGATACAATATGAATGGACAATCTCAGCTCATCAATTACAAAAAAGCATTATTTGGAAGAGTACATATATTGAACAATATCCTAGATCCTTGGGAAGTATCCAGTAGTCAAAAATATCAAGTCTAATCAGAACCATTGGCTTAGGTTACTTTTAAACATTTAAACTACAATTCAGTTGATATCACAATCAACAATGTTATTTACACAACATTGTTGATTGTGATGTCAATAGAATTGTAGTTTAAATGTTTACAAGTAACCTAAGCCAATTAGCATTGAAAACATGACATTAGATTCTGCATTTAATGGATAAGCTTATATTTACTAATTGGAAGAGATTACCTTTGTATGCAAATGAAGAAATTGTATAACCAAGGACAATCTTTAAAATGTTCTGAACTGTACATTGTTTTAGAAACTTCAAGAACAATGCAAAAGAGAAATTATTGCTGTCTGTTCTGGTACGAATTGTGATTTTACAGATAATCTCTTGCTCTTAACCTTTTCTTCTGAATGTTGACAATTTGCAGGGACTCTTGCTTCAAATATCTTAACAGAAATGAATATAATTGCTTTATTCTTTACCCTCCCCCCCTTTTCCCCTCAAAAATAGTTCCACTGGTGGTTGACTTGAAACAGATGTTTTAAGAACACATTTTCTCACATGGAATCTGGATTATACTTTTATGTAGATTCAATCTTACATGACCTTAACTTTCAAAGTATCTAAACATAAAATGAAGTAGAGAAATTCTTTCCTCTTTCATCCACCTTGCATACATCGAGCTTGAGCAATTGAAAGCAAAATGTTGATCCCCTGACAGCCAGCTTCAGCTGCTTATGCCTTTCTCCTTTATTGAAGTGGTTGCAGGTGCTAATTCCCCAAGACCTGGCTTAAGGCATTTTTCATGTTTTCCAAAGTGAAAAACCGCAGGAAAGCTCGTCTTCCAGATTTTCATAGCTTGAACGTGAAGGGGAAAAGACTCATCACCATATTCTGGAGGAATTAACATGACAAACTGATTTCCCTCACTTTAAGTGTCAGGCCAAGGTTGCAAATACATTTAGAATGCATAAACATGATCACAGAGATCTGCCACAAATGACAATTTACACATAGGCAGTATTGGCACACAGTTTCAAGCAAGATATCTATACTTCTAACTTCTTTGGAACTTTACTTGAGGCATGTCACAGTGAACTCTTAAGAGCTGGGGCTTAGTGGTTAGAATGCAGTACTGCAGGCTACTTTGCTGACGGCCGTCTCCTTCTAATTTGGCAGTTTGAATCTCACCAGGCTCGGTTGACCCAGCCTTCTGTCTTTCCAAGGTTGGTAAAATGAGGACCCAGATTGTTTGAGGCAATATGCTGACTCTGTAAATTACTTAGGCCTGCAAAGCACTGTGAAGTGATCTAAGTGCTATTGCTACTTACTTTTTCTGGACCATTATTGTTTTCTTGCATTGAGCCTGTTGCATGAGAGTGTTACGGAAAATCCTGTTATGAAAAATAAGTTCTGTACAGTGGTATTACCTTGCATAATGTTTTGAGAGAGAGAGAGTACTTTACAAAATAATGGTAGCTGGTACTAAATCTCTACATGCTGTGTTACATGCTGGGAAAAAATATCAAGCTATCTGCATATCACTCCATGTTAATAATGTTATTGCTGTTCAACAGGATAAACAGCTATGCTTGAGAGAAACTCTTAGAAGTGTGAAGGGTAAACACCTATGCTTGAGAAACTCTCTTAGAACTCTCTTACAATTAACTGGTTGAAAATAACTGTAAATTGGAAAAAAATAGCTGAAGAAATGCATATCAGAAGTCCTATACTACCCACTGAAGTAACACATTTCTAAAAATATGATTCCCCCAAAACATTAATGTTTAAGTTTTCACAGTAATAGTTCGAAATATAAGAAGTTCAGGTTTCCAAGACAATTTGACAAAAATCTGGATTCTGATGAATAAATCTGAGTATAGATACATAATTTTTTTGTACTGAAACTATACTGGGAACTTGTTTTTATTAACTTGTATTTTTATTTCTCTACATTTTATAGAAATTAGATATTGAAAGGATTGTAGAAGTAAGAAAAATCTTTACCTTGATTGAGGCAATTATGGAATGTCATGCTCAGATAGTTTTTATCATAGTATGTGCATTTAAATGCATTTAAGCTTCCATCAATCCCTAATTGAAATTCCCTATTTTTTTAAATTCAGAGAACTAGATTGATTAAGAAATCATCCTTTTTGGTTAGTAGCAATAATGTTTAAGGTACATCAATTTTGGTTCTAGTTGAAATTTTCCTCTCAGACATAAATATAGCAGCTGTAATATTTATTTTTATTTAAACTTTTATTCTGCCCATCTCACTAAGCTAATAATATAGTAATCAAACTTTGTATGTGTATGTAAAACGTTTTAGAAAGTCATTGCAATAAAACACATTGATCTTGCTAATTCTGTGGAATTTAGCAGTAATTCATTGAACTGAAGATACTTAATTATCAGATTCATAATCTTAAAATAATTCTGTATGGATCAGCTAATTCAGATATGAATCTTCAGACAAGTTCATTTGTAGGGGTAGACGATGGGACATCAGTCTAAATTGGAGGTAAGTTCAATTAAGCTCAATTTGAATAAATACTTTAGATAATAAAAACATACTGCTTTTCTTTTAATCTTACTGTTGAACTGTGAAGTGATATTTGGTAAAATTCTGCTTCTAGTTAAGAAGATATAACTAATGAAAGCAACTAATTAGTTTTTGAAGAACTTACAGGACTAATGAACTGAAAGAATTGTAGGACCATAAAAAACCTTTACCTTGCCTGGCACTTCCTGACAGAAAGAAAGAGACAGACAAAGAAAAGAAAAAGATCAGGTTAATGTGTGTGTGTGCGCGCACCCATGCAAGCTATAAAAAGTTCAGGACCCATTCCAGTCCCTTCTGTTTCTGGCCATCATGATATATATAATGATGGAGAATAAACAAAAACAATAATTTTGTAGTATTCCATTATTTGCTCAATGTAACATCTCAATTCATTTTCAAAAAATCTTACTGCTAAATATTAGTAGCTTCAAATATTTCTAGAAAATAACAGAAAAGATCTTGCAAAATAATGCAAAGGGTGCAACTCAGTTTATATAATATTCAAGATATACTTAATTCCTCTTTTTTTTTTTTTTTACTGAGGCAGTTCTTAATTTTCTATGATTACTTGAATAGGTGGGTTTTAATGGTATGAAGGTTTTGCTTTTATAACTCGATTTGATGAATACATTTTCCCCCTGACATAATTTGTAGGGGAGAAAAGATAGGGAACAAAGTATTTTATATGAGCTGTACATTATTAAGATATCTAGATGTAGATATTGCAGAAAATGTGTTATTGTCTATTGGTAGAATCTTCAGTATGATTATAAAACTATGTTTATTGCTAAGTTCATTAAAATTATTATAAAATAACTCTGGTGCCTGGCTGTTCTGTCAACTGTTCTGTTATGATTGCCAATAGCTCTTTGATAGTTCAATAATTCCTTAAGACATCATTTATAAAATATGTATGCGTCCTAACTCTAGCAATGACATTTATATGGAGTGTGGCAAGGTGGCTAATAAGACAATTACCCAAGTCATACTTATGTATGGGAAACACAAAATACTTCATCTCTCATTTGTCTGTGAAAAACGTAAATAGAAAGTAGATCTTGAAGTTTATTTCCATCTTTGATATTCATAAAGGTCTAACCCAGCAGAAATAATGGATGGGTGTCATTCTCAAGAGTGTCATTCTGTGTCCTGAGGTAGAAACAGTTATGCCCGAGATGAAAAACCTGTTCAGGTTGCACATCAATTAAGTTGCTTGCATAGATGTGCCTACAATTACTTTGGATGGGATGGGTAGTGGGCAATTGAAAGCACTGTAGGTATTTCAGTGGTGGCTACCAGCTTCCTCCAGAATCCATGTAGCACTTCAGCTATATTAATAAAGACTCAAACTTTTTTGTCAAGAAAAGCCTGAAAAAAATCTATACCTCATGTAAAACCTTGGAAGTAGTACAAGTTTTTTTCTTTCTCTTTTTTTGGATTTAGTTTAAAATTAGAAGTAAGTTTGTTAGATTTATATGGCCAACGCATAATCAAATGAACCTCTTATATATTTATTTATAAATTTTATTTGCCACCCACTTCATATCCAATGACTGGGCAAATGGGCTCCATACTGGGTTCCCCAGGCCTGTTGACAGAACCAGGTCTTCAGGGCCTTGTGAGAGTGTCCAAGTGGGGACCAGTCCAATCTAGGGATGATGTTCCAAAGGGAGGAAGCTACCAGGGACAAGACCCTTTTGGGTCCCATCAGATGTATTTCCTTAGGAGACAGGACCCGCAATATTGCTTGCTTCCCCACTCTAAATATCAGCAACAGCACAGACAGACCTTGATGTTTGGTCCAACACTCAGGAACTATGGCAGGTGAAGGCAGTGAAATGCAGGCTGGGTGTCATACTTGCCCCAGATAGCATACCAGATCTACAATTGCTATAACTATGTTCTGATTAGAGTTGCCAAGCAAAAGATACACTTGGTTACACGCACACACACATATATATTCTAGTAAACTTGATGATGCTTTTTAACAACAAAATGGGTCCTTATTCTCAATGGCAACTTCTACCACACATGGCATTTCCACTTTTATCTCTAAATTTTTTTAAAAAAACTATTGATTTTTTAAAGACAGACAAAACATAGGGCATAAAGGCTTAAAACCTTTCTAAAAATTACTTATAAGTTTTAACAAGGCAAATAAAACATTATTTTTAAGGCATAGTTCCACATTATCACATTTCCATTTAAGCACACATATATCTTTTCCAAATTTCTCATTATTTCTCCCTTCACTGTTATTCAATTATATTTCTTTCTATCAAGGTTTTATTAATTCTCAATCAAACATAAACACAAAATGCAAAACATAAAACAAGACATAAAAACATAAAACCTCTTTAGTTATCATCTGTACATATCTTTTCTCATTATTTCTCCCTTTAGTTTTATTCCTCCAAGGTTTTATTAATTCTCAAACATAGCTAACCAAAACAAAAAACATAAAACTTCTTTTGAAAAGTGGCTTAGCCCCGGGTT